TTCCTATAAACAATTAACAATCATTCGTCATGTAAATTTGATAATTAAATTCAAGATAAAACTGAAATTCTTACCCATTAGAAACAAGTGCTGCTCTATTTTGCTGCTGCTGCTGCTTGGTTCGGTGGATGAAAGAGAGGAAGGTGCTGCTGTTCTGTTCGATGGATGAAGAAGAGGTTGTTTCTACCCATTGGGAAGGAGAGGAAGGTGAGTAGCAGATGCTACTCTGTTTGGTGTTGCAGCTTTGTTTGGTGCTGTTGCTCTGTTTGGTGAAGAAGTTGCTGCTGTTTAGTGGCCGACAAGGAAGTTGAGCCATGAAGGGCTAGAAGAGGCTGTTGATGGTGGTGGTTGAGAGCAGATGCAGATCTGTTCTACTGTTGTCGCTCTGTTCTGTGCTGCTACTTTGTTCGGTGCTGTTGAAGCTGCTGCTGTTCAGTGGAGGAAGGGAAGGAAGATGAGTTGCGAAGGGCTGGAAAGGCTATCAACGGTGGTGGTTGGGGGTAGGGAGGTCAGTGGAGGAAGGAGATTTGCTCTGGTTCGGTGTCCTGAGTTTGAAATGTCTTCTTCTTTCTATTTTCTGCATAGTGTTTGTTCTTGGCTGCCGACTGCTTTGTTTTTTTTTTTTTTCTTAGTTTTGACCTCTATTAGGGTTTTTTTTTAATCTAATTTTAATTGAAATTTAAGGGTTTTTATGTAATAATATTAAAGGTAGGATAAAATAGGTATATTGTCTTTAAAATGGAAAAAAAAATGGGTCAATTGTAGATAGGAGGTGCAGCCCGGCAGGTGGACTAGGTGGAATGGGCTAAGCGGGTTGAGCGGGCTGATTGGGTTGGAACGGGTCAAATAGAAAAACGGGTTGAGGGATACATCCGGCCTGTTTTTAAGCTTGGGTCCAATTCGATTGGTTCAACCGACGGAGTCGGGCCAGGTCCAAAAACGGTGCCTACAAACTCACCATTATCAAGCACTACTTTCCTTAACAGCTATTGCTTAGCTATATCTTCACCTTTTCTTCATTTTATGTTGGAATTCATAAGTTTGTTTCTCCCTCTTTTGATTTTTAGGTTTCTTTACTCCAAATGGATCCATTCATCCATGCATTGTTGAGCCAATTGAGTCGTATTCTGTTAAACAAGTTGAAAGAGGAATTTTGTGCCATTAGAGGAGTTAAGCATGATTTAGAGACTTTGAAAAAATACCTCCATACCATAGACAGAGAATTAGAGACTGCAGCTGTTAAGGACAAATTCCATGCCAACACGTTACTGTGGCTTTTGAGGTTGATGGATAAAGACAAGTGGGAGTATCGGCAAACACAGCTAAGAAAGAGTGCTAAATTGGGATTGATGAAGTTTCTGTCGAAGGTTAAATATTATTGAAGTCTTGTGCGGCGGATTAAACAAATTAGCAAGAATTTGGAATTCGTCACCAAAGAAAAAGGAAGTGGCAACATGGAAGGTGGACAGATTGAATTTCCTTGGCAAATATCTTCCCATTCCATGGCAGAAATGATGTATTGACTCATAAAATTTGGGGATAGCTATATAAAAAATTATGGTGGACTTGTCCTTGCCACCCTATTTAGTTGTGAATTTTAAGGGTTTTTCTATATTAAATTGGGGGTTTAACAAAAAAAAAAAATTACGGAATAAATATTGAGCGTTTATGTTACTTGATGATTTTGATGTGCCATTTGTACCTTCATTCTTTTGGGGGTGGACTTGTCCTTACCACCCTATTTAGAAGTGAATTTAAGGGTTTTGCTATATTAAATTGGGGGTTTAACAAAAAAAAAAAAAATTACGGACTAAATATTGGGCGATTTAGGTTACTCCATAATTTTGATGTGCTATTTGTACCTTCATTTTTTGGAGTGGAAATTAGTAGTTACTGTTTTTAGTAGTTCCACCAAATACACATCCCATTTGAACACATTTCATTTGATCCAAAAAAAAAAAAAATGGACATCTGTCAAATTTAATAATGAAACCAAGAATTACTAAATTCCTTGGGGAGGGTGGTTTTGCTAGGTTCTCCAGCCACTACCTACATTTTCTTATTCCCTTCCTAAAGTCTAGTAGATTCTTGTTATTTTTCCCTTTCGTTTCCTTCTCAGAAAACACCTAAAAAATATTTTTGCTGCTCCTTTCGATTCTTTCTCAATCAATATACAAAATCTCGAAATCTTAGCTTTCTTTATGTAGTTCTTGTTTCTTTTTATAGAAAATCCCAAAATACAAACTGAATCAGATTTAGTTCTTTATAGTTTTCATCCTCTAATCCTATGGCTGATTTGGAAGTGGCAATCGGTCGGGAATCACTGCTGTTGGAAGGGTAATCGAAGAAATCCCAGTTTATTATGCGGGGTACTAGCTAAGGTCCCGACTGACCGTAAGGAGTTTTAGGTAAATTAAGTAGAAGAAAACCTCTACAAAATCTCCTTTCATACTTAGTCAGACTTAATGTTTATTTTGGAAAATGCTCCTTGGTCTATGGGTGGGTTTCTGTTTAATGTTAAGAGATGGGATTATGGTACTTCATTGGCTGAGATTGATTTTTCCTTAGCTTCTTACTAGATACAAGTCCATGGTCTAAACCTAGATGAATTGACTTATAACAATGCTATGACCTTAGGCAATAACTTAGGCATTCTGATTAAGGTCGAAAACCTAGTTGTCAACAATGTCCCTTTCAGGGTACAAATTGAAGTGCTAAAACCAAAGTAGTCAATACCGTAC